GTGTGTCGGGAGAAAGCTACAAGAATCAGCGTTTCCCTTCGATTTATATACATATATATATATATATCTTCTCTCCCGGCGACGATGGTTCCGACGCACGCCGCACGAGGCGCTGCTGAGTTGATGCATGCGTGATTCCCCGGTTTTACGAGCGTCTCTTCTAAATTAGACTGATTTAAAAAAGTGCAAAGATGGAAAGAAATGGGAAAATGCTAAAACTCGGGGAATCGGTTAGGATGAAAAGTGTTGTTTGATGCGGCTTGTAAGATTTTGCGAGAATTTTAGAATAGTAGAGTCGTCGATCTAGATCGAAGACCTTGGTGCCCGAGAGGCGTGAGAAGAAGCACCGAATATCCTGTTATCGATGTTATCGTCCTTCATTGTCCCCTTTTTCCCGTTACTTTGAGGCGTGCGTGTGCGTGTGTGCTCGGCGAGAGTAATGCGCGTGCGAGCGTAGACGATCTTGATCGGGTTGAATCGAATAATCGACTTCGATATCGGCGATCAGCGTAGAATTTCTTCCTATTTTTCTGTCTTTCTTTTAGGTAAATCGAGTAACTGTCCGGCGGATATTTTGACGTTGCATATCGCAGAAAACATTGTTGCGTAGACCGTTCGTGTCTTTAGAGCTTCATTTGTGATAATTGGTTAATATTATTCGATATAACTTTTAACGAATCCTTCTTCTTATGGGCATAAGAAGAAGCTTATAGATATATCAAGGTTTCTCGATTTATTTAATATGTAAATAAATCTAGGTGTAACCCGACGAATTCGCCAGTGAGCTTTATCGTATTCTTTTGCGATACATAAATGGATACATGTTTATTCTATTTCTAGTTCATCCGTTTCGTACGATCGACCTTGTATTAACTTAAGAATTTTTATGGATGTAAAGAAATGTAAAAATTATAGAAAAATGCTTTTTCTTCAGCTATTCTCGTATTATTGGGATACTGCTTATTTAATAGTCTTCTATTTCAACCACTTCTACGATGTTAAAGTATATAGACGAGAGACTGTCGACACCGAAATCGAATGTTCGATTCGGCGAACAGGGCAAGCCGAACCAGTGCGAAACGCTTGCACGTGCCCAGAAGAAGCTTGTAGCGAACTTGGCCCTTGAATGTTACCGATGTTCTTCAAGCACAGTGAATTCACAACGAGACTGTGCGGCTTCGAACTTTGAAACGTTCGTACGCCTTCTTGAATTTGAAGTTGCAGCGAGCGGAGTGAAATTAAACACGATACAAGGCTTGTTCAAATTCAAGGACGCGGACGGCCTTTTGCTCAAAGCAAATGTTACCATTCTGCCGAACACAATTTGATCTTGTATAAACAATTACTCGTGAAAATAGAGGAATACCGATAGAATTGCTGTATAGTCACGAAAGTAGTCAATCACGTAGCAATTTTTAATTTACTTGTATATCTTGAATGGTTATTGTTAATTATACTCTTCGGATCCAATATGGCGGACCACCAGCGAAAAAGTCGAGGGAAAAGAGACTGTTTTAATGGAAAAATTCGACGTAAAATTTGTTAAGGACGGTGTGTCTGTATTTCCAATTGCTATTCGTTCGTTATCGTTGAATTGTACGATATTCTACAAGTTCAGATTGTGCGCGGTCATCATAACATTTATTAGTGACTAAAACGCGCTGTTGCATACTCGAGATGTTCGCTTCGTAATTTATTGTAACCGTTAATGAAGGGGAGAAGAGAAAAGAGATAAACGAAAGATTGTCGAGAAAGCTGTTGATCGAGAGAAAAAAGAAAAAGATTTATTATAACGTAGTTCTTCCTCGAACTGGTGTTAAAAAGTGAAAAAAAAAGAAAAAGAAAATTAAATATCGACAACGTGGTGCCGGATCAAAATATGGACGAGGATGTAAATAGATGGCGTCGCTGGCTGTGCTGTGCAAATTGTTGAATAGCGATGTGATACACACACATACATACACACACATATATATGTATATATGTCTAAATACACGAATATGTATACATATATATATATATATACATATACACCGATTTGCGGACGTGGTATTACTTTTTGGAGAAAAAGATGTAGAACTGCGAAGGCTGCTACTGCGACGGAAACACATTTCGATGGTAGATCCACGTTATCGGCGCCATTTGCAACATATTCGATCGATTCACCGAAGTCGAGAACGAGTAAACGATTGAACGATCCACAGGCGTTCCAGCATTGCAATAGAAAGAATAACGTTCTAACGCGGAATAGCGTTCGAAAAGCGCGCTCGCATCGGTATCCCGGTATCGATTAACCGACCGAACTATCGATCGATCTCGACGGAAGGTTCGTACGCTCGGAGCCAACTTCAGTCGAAAACAGACGACTGTGACGGACGCAATGGCGACTTTTGCAATAACGCGTGTCGATAACGTGCGTGCAGGCCGCGATCGTGCGAATGTATTCGATCAAATGTGACATATTCAGTCTTCGTTCATGTGCTCTTTGTTCACGTCGTGTTCGTTTCATTTTCGTGCACTGTCAGCCACGCGTGGGAACGTGTGGGGACATCTGATGTTCGATTGGCGATTCGTAGCCACGATGGAAAAATGGGAAGTGCATAAAGGAAGAGCGAAGTGAATGGGAACGGCACGTGAACCGGGTGGCGCAAATGTTTCTTCGGTAAATTCGCTTTGGATAAGCTAGATAGCACACGTGTAAGTGAAACCGCGTTCCAATTCGAGCGGAGGCCACGCACTTCAATTTCGATACACCGTTTCGATCTGACCAATTCGATACTGCTCCCCTCCCCTACCCCCCATCCTTTCCTCGTGCCACGTCGAAATAGCGCGTCGCAAATCGCGCTGGAATTGGAACGAATAATCGGAAACGATCTTTGTGGCAGAGCGTGACTGTTAAAGCGGCTCAGTTCTCGCGTTTGAGAGTCGAAATCGCGTTTAATTAGTCAATGCCGAGTCGAGGAGAACGGTTCATTAGTCTCAATTACTAGTTGGAATGTCTCTCGCGACAAAACAGTGCCGAGAGACGCGCTAAAAGCTTGAGCTCGTATAGTCGCAACAATCGACTTTCGATCTATCGCTGTAATCACTGCCATGTCGGCGACGCAGAGTCAATAAACGACGGCGATTCGGTATAGAGAGACTCGGTTGATTTTAGCACGAAGCGGTGCGCGTTACAATTTTTGTATTTTATTGTTATCCTTCTGCTTCGCGATGCATTTACTTTTATTCCGATTTAAAACCACTACATCTGCGAATTTCTAGCAATAACATTTTTTTCTTAAATTATTCACTTATTTAAATAAAATTACTACCATCCAATCATCCGTTACTTTATTCTTTGAAGCAATTGACGTAATAAAGTGCAATTAAATCAAAGTGAAATTATTGTGTTATTTGGCTAACCGCATCGCGAGACAGATAAACTGTAAAGTAACGTTATCGTACATAGCTTCAGCAACATGGCCACGTTGTTTATTAACTGTGTCTCGCAAACATTCTATCGCCGGAACAACCTTGTGTTTCCAGTCAGTTGAGAGATTTCAATTTCTTTGAACTGACGGTTTCGAGCGTCTGCAAAAAACTTCCGGTTGAACCTCCGAAGTTATTCGAAACGAGCTACTCCTTAGGAGGACTATTACGGACGCTGTACCGTGGACGGGGCTCTAGCGATGGTATTAAAGAGTTGCTGGCAACTTAGAGAAGCGACAAAGCCGCCGATATCCCCATTCGATTGCGTGTTTCGATTCGCGAGTGTACTGCGATTGGGAGGTACCACCAGAGCACTGTCCTCGGGACTGGTTCATTTGTTTCTTGTCTGTAGCATCACCGATTCGTACGATGTGTTAAGCTCGAGCAATTCGAGAGCATAAGAAGTGCGGTGAGTGGAAATTTTGTTCACTTGACGTTCTCCATTAGCGGGCGTTTGGTCACGTGCTGCGCAGTGTATGTGCGCAGCCGTCACGAGCGGCGACATCGGTTCGATGCGACGGATCGAATATAACCTTTCTGATCCACACATTTTGTTTAATTTTTTACGATATCATATGATTATTAAGCAGTAATGATTCTTATGTAAGAACTACGAAGCATAAGGGTGTTATATGTTACGTTTCTCGAATTTTGTACTAATAACAAGCCAAGAACATTGTTGAGTGGAAAAGATACCTTTCGCACTGCATTCCTTATGCACACGGGTGCTGGAATTTGGTGCATTTATCATAGTTGAGCAGGCATTATTACGATTGTGTTATGAAATGCAAAGGAAAAACAGGAGAATAAAAGTGAAAGAAAGAAAGAGGCGCATGTGCATTTACAAAGTCGGAGAGAAATAAGAATTGCAAGAGCGGGAAAATAACACGCGTGATTGTGCATGTGTGTAGAAGATAAGAGAGAGAAAGAAGTTATAGACGATCATGTTTATCCTTCACCAACTATACGCAATATGAAATTGAGTATACAAAGCAGAGCAGCGAGAACCATTTGTCCTAGTCCTAGTATTCAAACTCATCACCATAATTTATAACCAATTTCAATTTAAATCTAATAAAATGATGTTATAATACCAACATGCCTTCTAATTGTCTTTTCATATCCAAAATATTTTAAAAAGCTAGCTTAAACATAGACCCAACAAATTAATTAGTTTTATTATATTAAGTAAGTTATTTATTTATGAATTTAAATAAATTCATTTAGTTTCTTTTCTAGTTTTAGTAAAAATACAGTTTTACATCTACTAACGTTATTTATATAAACTCATCATTCTAAACTATAAATTATGCAACATAATCTCTGATTTTTCTCAAGATCAGTGTTCTAATATCTATAACAATTATTACCGTCTCATAAATGACATATGAGATATTAAAATTACTCAATTGATAATATAATTCAGTTTACCCAAGGAATTTACCGATTAAGCATACGTATAGAGGGCGACTCTCAGTTGCGCATTTACACGCTAGTTTATTGAAAGAAACATGGATGTCTCACTGAGGTTAACCTAAAATCAAATCTTTTCCAACAATAGTGAACCTTTATATTTTCTAAAAAAAACAGAAACTATTGCATTATTAGTAATCTTGAAAGGTTTCCTTAATCAATATCACCATGGTAAAGAAAAAAAGAGGTAAATACTATTATAATAATGTTGAAAAAGATTCATAACCTTGTAATATTTTCTTGAAAATATAGTTCATTTTATAGTACTATCTTTATGATGGATAATTTTACAATTTTATTAAATATGTTGCTGTTAATTTTAGAATTTGAACAGAGTAAAGAAGAACGTATGGTTATGACTATTGGAGAAATTATACAAGAACTATTGAAAGCACATGAACAAAACAGAGATATTGATTTAAACAAATTAAAAACACGTATTGCTTCTAAATATGGCTTAGTAAACTCACCAAGATTGGTTGATATTATAGCAGCTGTACCTGCAGATGTCAGAAATATATTAATACCAAAATTAAAAGCAAAACCTATTAGAACAGCCAGTGGTGTTAGTATTTTTATTCATTGTTATTTATATGAAAACTATAATTAAATTATAGTAAAACGTACGTATATTAGATAATTTTCTCTTTTATCAGATAGCTGTTGTCGCTGTAATGTGCAAACCTCACAGATGTCCTCATATCAACATGACAGGAAATATTTGTGTATATTGTCCTGGTGGACCAGACTCCGATTTTGAATATTCCACACAATCTTATACTGGTTATGAACCTACTTCGATGAGAGCTATTAGAGCAAGGTATAATCCATTTCTGCAAACCAGACATCGTGTGGAACAGGTCAAGTTAGAAACTTTTTAAATACTTAAAATTTAAATAACATTTGGTTATATAATGGTTATAAAATATTGCAGCTGAAACAATTGGGACATAGTGTAGATAAAATTGAATTTATCGTTATGGGAGGAACTTTTATGTCTCTACCAGAAGATTACAGAGATTACTTTATTCGAAACTTGCATGATGCTCTATCTGGACATGTGAGCAGCAATGTGGACGAGGCGGTAAAATTTTCTGAACGAAGTCGCACAAAGTGTATTGGTATCACTATAGAAACACGCCCTGATTATTGTCTTAAAAAACACCTTTCCGATATGTTACGTTATGGGTAGGAGTATTGTAGTAACTTAGATGAATAAATATTTTTAACTGAAATTTATATTTTGAAAAAATTTGTACAGGTGTACTCGTTTAGAAATTGGAGTACAGTCTGTATATGAAGATGTAGCACGAGATACAAACAGAGGGCATACTGTTCGCGCTGTCTGCGAAAGTTTTCAATTATCGAAAGATGCTGGTTTTAAAGTGATAGCACATATGATGCCAGATTTACCAAATGTCGATATTGAAAGGGATATTAATCAATTCATTGTATGTTATAATTGTATTCCTAATAATTCATATTTCATTTGTTTTTTATATTTAATTAGCTAAGACATTGTTCTATGTTTTAGGAATTTTTTGAGAATCCTGCTTTCAGGGCAGATGGTTTGAAAATTTATCCAACGTTAGTTATACGTGGTACGGGTTTATACGAATTATGGAAAACTGGAAGATACAAAAGCTATCCTCCTAGCGTTTTGGTGGATCTTATAGCTCGAATATTGGCTCTGATACCACCTTGGACTCGTATATATCGTGTACAAAGAGATATACCTATGCCTTTAGTCAGGTAATATTTGTTATACTATATGTATATTCTATTTGTATATTATTGTCACCTTTATTTAGCTCGGGCGTAGAACATGGAAATTTACGTGAGTTGGCATTAGCAAGAATGAAAGATCTTGGAATTGATTGCCGCGATGTTAGAACTCGAGAAGTAGGTATTCAAGAAATACATCATAAAGTAAAACCTTATGAAGTAGAACTTGTACGTCGTGATTATGTTGCCAATGGTGGCTGGGAAACATTCTTATCTTATGAAGATCCCATGCAAGATATTTTGGTTGGTTTGTTAAGACTGAGGAAGTGTTCAAATGATACCTTCAGGTAAAATAAAATTATTAAAATGATTAAAAGATATTAATAAACAATTATATTAATGACAATGTTTTATAGGCCAGAACTTAAAGGCAAATGCTCCATAGTGAGAGAGCTTCACGTATATGGTAGTGTTGTTCCAGTAAACACTCGCGATCCTACGAAATTTCAACATCAAGGATTTGGAATGTTACTAATGGAGGAAGCTGAACGAATAGCGAGAGAGGAACATGGATCTGACAAAATTGCTGTCATATCAGGTATAAATTTTAAGTAGTATAATTATAAATACTACAAGAATTATTATATAAATAATTCTGTTCAGGTGTCGGAACAAGGAATTATTACCGGAAAATGGGATATGAACTTGATGGCCCGTATATGTCTAAAATGTTTATATCTTGCAAATAAATATCATTCTTTTTATGTAATAAAAAATAGCATTAAGTATATATCTTTTATCTCTAGTAGTTAAGAATTAGAATTTTTGATTATTAATGAAACTCAAATCGTGTGATAAAGAACCATTTGATATTTTTTCTGTTCGCGTATCGAACAGTAAAATTGAATCTATAGATGGTAACACGGTCGTCGCCTCGATATCGTACAAAAGGAAAATTACTATAGGTTCCCCCACTTCTTTGCGCGCCACCTGCTGACGGCGCTTAGAGAGAGTAAACAAAAGCGAGTCGCATTCGTGACACCGGTATTGATCAGTGAACGTCGTTGCTCGCGTTTGAAAACGGTTTACGTTGTGATGTTTGTTATTTTAAATACAAGTCGATCGCGAACGCGCAATTCGGCAAGAACGAATTATCGCGTGTTTATTCGACACTTCAACAACCACGCAGCCGAAAGAAAGATGTCGCGCAAAGAGTAGGTCGGTGAACGTTAGATGCGAGGACATTTTTGTCGAATCAGGACAGACGGCATCTGAGGAGAAAGTGGTGAATTATCCTGGCGCCAAATCACGAGGGGGTAAGTAAATATCAAGTGGCAAACACGAATCGAAGTTTAGGTTAGGTTTTCCCATGTAGGTTCAAAATACGTTCAAAAATTTGTTTGTACAATAATATTATTGTTTTATCTTGTTTGTTAATAAACATATTTTTCCATTCTTAACTTCATATGTTCATATTGTATTAAAATTCTGTATTGTACAAATAATTAATATAAATGTGCGAATGAAAATGAATATAAATATATAAATAGTTAAAAAAATTTTCAACTTAGGTAATTATATGTTACATCGATACTAAAGTTATGCTATGTTATAATGCTATACTATTATGTAAACAAAAAGGGAAACTCCGACGTTCACGATTGCGATAGGTGTAATCTTACGCTATGGTAGATTTCGATGTGTTTCCTTTATTTCGTCATACAAAAATTACCTGTTGACTATATTGAACAGTTTTTTTGCAAATTCTTTAAGGTTATATTCTTAAAATATTCTAGTGATGTATAAATGAGAAGACAATTGTCCTTAATGCAAAAATAATTTCTTCGTGTTTTCGACAGCAATAAATTACGCGTACAATTAAAGTTACTTAACACAATATTTAATGACACATATGAGATCAATTATATTTCCTGAAATCATTAGAGTTTTATTTCGCAATATATTATCAATGATAAAGATAATATCTTTCACTCCAGAAATCTGAAACCTCGAAACTCTATCTGATAACGTAGGAAGCGCAAATTCGGAACGAATTATTCCATTTCTTTTTTTTTTTTTGTTATACAATTGTTTATCAATATTTAAATCTTTCCATTTGGTTTCACAAAAGAAATATCGTTTTCACTCATTTTTGTAGTGAAGCATAGAACAGTATGAATTTTGTGCGCAAATTATTTATGTAGTCGTAATTTTCGAATGTTCGATTGAGCAACGTGCAAATGGAAAGTGATGCCCCGAGTTCAACGACTTCTAGTGTCATAATACTAGACTTACGTCACTATTACATCGTAATATCACCAAACCATTACATCTGCAAGGACTATAAATTAAAAAAGATAATTTCAATAACAGGCAATGAATATCTTAGAATGTTCAATTATACACTGACGTTTCAATGACGAAGTTGATAGGACGTTAATCTCTTAATCTAAAGGGTCTCAGTTCAAATCTTGGTAGGGGTGTTTTTTAAACATTTGTCTAACTTTTCCAATTTGATATTCCTATCATTAGACAGACAATATATAATCGTTTAATTTTATCAGTTGCACGCCACCTTCATTCGTTACCTTAATTAGATAAATTTAAAACAATAAAATTATCACGAAGAATTATATAATCTTAATTGCCGATTAAGAAGCACTTCGAAGGCAGCTCCACGCGAGTGGGTAATTCCCTCGTGCGTGCACAGGATTGCACCCACGCAATCATATACACGGTATGTGTATGCGAGTAATTTGTGTCTGTGTGAGTACGTTACCGTTCTCTAACAATGTATATCGCGTGCCTTTCATAGGTCGCGAATGTATGCTTCGCGCGACGATTTTGGCTCGATGCTCACGATATATTCACAAAGTGGCCGCCAGTCATGAATTCGTCTCTGACCGGCCAATTGGATGACTTGCGATCTATAGTAAATATCCGGCTACTATTATTAAATTTGTCCTTAACGATCGTTACGGGTATCATCTCGCAACCATTAGCTCCCGTCACACGAATGGCACCGGAGCCATTCGCGGACTTCGCGAAGTTATCGGTTCGTGATATTGTGGCTGTGAGTTTGCATCGTACTTATTAAGTGATTTCAGGATCCGCCCGAAAATTCGTCCGGGATATCTCGTGTAGTCAACGATCCTAAGGAAGCATCGTGTGACACTAAATCATCGTCTAGGTAAGCTAGGTACAAAAAAATATGTCGTAAAATGAACAAATTTAGTTTTTCTAACATAACCAATAAATAAATGCAGAGATAGTAGAACCGATTTCAACGTTGATACTCGATGAATCTACGGTCACGTTGAAAATATATTTAGAGAAATTTGGCGATGAACTAGCCGTTCTTTCGGATGAATCATCTTGATTCATCTTGGACGAATGTTTTCGGGAATGTATCAAGAATACGTTGAATTGAAAACGGTACTCAGTAAAAAATAATTCCCGTTTGAAATTTCCTTATTCGAGGAATTGCGAACTGATTATGTGAAATTACGTTTAAGTTAGTGTTTATTATGTTTGTCACGTGAGTTACTGCGATTTGCATACTGCATCGATAAATAATTGAGTATCGGCCGATAAATGCACACAGTATGTAACGAAGCAGATATTCACGTTTACTGTCGTATTTCTATGTATTTAAATAATACGTTACTTACACGTATATGTCATATCGAGTTTGTACGCCTACTCATATGTCAGATAAGAGATCGATGTGTCCATACAATTTTCGGGATGGAACATTCTAAGGCAATTAGTGGCAACGTGTTTGTCCATGTTACCAAATGTACCAACGCCTTTGTCCAAATGTATTGACACAGTCAGGGACACGATCTCGTAATAGCTAAAAATACCGAAAGATGGCGACTGGTATGTAATTCGTATTTTTCCCTTCCTTTGTTCTTATCGCGTAGGGAAACAAAAACAAAACAATATACACAGTAATTGCTTCCTCTTACGTCGATTCTTATATAATGAAAAGTTACCAATTTCCGCATTGTATGTTTTATTTTTTTAACTTTAATTGATGGGTCGATATGGCGACTGCAATATTATTGGTTTAAAATCATTAAAGTTATTCGTTTGATCAATTGGCTGAAATAGAGTTATCCGCGTCGTTTATCTTGTTTTACTAACTCTAGGATTTTCACGTGATATTATGCGCAGCGATCCTCAAATTTGCATCCTTGTTGAGCGAAGTGGCGCGCTACGCGTTGTTGCACTCACGAGGAATGTTCAGTGTTATGCTTGCACGCCCACATGCTCACCAGATAAGACGTCGACATGTGCACTGAACATTGCCGGAAAGTGGGACACTCCTGGTTGACCATGAATTTCTTGTTAAGCTTCATGGATTTATGTTTAAGCGTCGTATCACGTTCTACGGAATCTAGAGTGAATTAATTGAGGATTAATTTGAATGACGCTCTCGGGAGACTCCCATTTTGGAACCAGTTTGTGTTCGTTCGCCGTAAACGACGTAATAACGGTCGTCCCGAAATTCCAAAGATAGAAAAACTTATATCAACATTAAGTAGAACACAGACCTCTCACTTGAATCTTTATATCAGATCGTTAGACTATCTGATATTATTGTGATAATAAAAATTCTCAGAATTATTATTATTATATATGTAACAAGGTTAACACACCATCGTAAGTGATTTAAAAAATAATAATTATAATATATCATATTAAACGCCGATTTTTATCTGTCAAGAATTGAGAACCACTGGGCTAAGTAAATCTAAAAATCGATGGACGCTGTCCAATTGCTCGACATAGATCGATACGTATCGATACAGGTCTAAAACTCGATTCCGTGACGAAATTGGAACGCCATGTTGATCGTTCGTTGTGCAAAGTTATCGAGACTTTACAATGTACATTGCATTTAACGCGTAGAGTTGTTGATATATAGCAAACTATAATGTCGTAGTTACGTGACATTGGAATTCCTCGAAGATACTTCCACACGTCTCAACAATCGTTACGAGATCTTGGTAACGGTATTGTATGATTGAATCTATTCGCTACATTATAAATATCGATTGTGTGCACTAATAATTTTTTCGACCGATGCTAACGTCAGCTAACGTCGAAAGAAAATTGCTACGAATTTGTCGATAACGGAGTAAACCACGCCGAAATTACCGACGTCACCGGCGGTATTACCGTGATTAGACAGCAAATCAGCATTCGTGTTCCCACTTACCTCGTTTTTAACTCTATATGCGGAATATCTTTAAATCTAGTTTATTCATTTATCAAGTGAGAGATATTTTTTGGCGTTCCGTGATAACCGATTATCGGTCGATCGAAATATATTGCGAAGGAAAAAAAGAAACGAAAAGATCGAGATAAACGTTAATAAGATGAAAATATTTTCAGGAATAGCACGAACGTAAGTAAAGAAGCATAGACGCGCATGCTGGAATGTGTAATCTCGCATAACATATTTTAATCGCCATAAGTTACGCGTTGGTGGTAATATACAGAGCACGACGATAAATTGCACCACCCGTCGGGCATCTGTATTTCATAAAAAATTATTTAATAAAAGTGGTGCGCAAGTACGTCGATATTAATTTTCGAGATCCGAAAAAAAGTATGGTGAGATTAGTTGTGATGTACAATGCACATTTTATAAAGAACATTCTAGGAAGAACAATATTCGATGATACTCTCGTGAAAGGGTAAACGAGAGATAATTTTTTACTAACAATTTCGTTCCGAAAAAAATGAAGTTTTATAATGAAATTTC